TTAATACAGTTCCTAAAAGACATTAATATAACGAAAGAAATCTAAAGAAATGATTGGTAAATAATGGATGACACTGCTGCAAAATAATAATTATCTGCTCTGACAAAACTTAATCGTGGCGCTTAATGGTCACAGTTATCGAAAGCGCACACGTTTAAGGTTATAAAAAAAAAAAAAAAAAAAAAAAAACAAGAAATAAAATAATAATTAGTAATTAAGTAGTTACTAGCTACAGAGGACACAAAAAAACAAAAAGGCACTAGGAATAAAATATAAATTAGATGCCTTTATAGTTATAACGATCACGGCTAACAATATTTGAAACTTAAACAAAAACTTAAACAAAAAAGCATTCTGTATGACTGCCAAAACTAACGAGTTACATGATTGGAGCAGGGAAATCACGAATCACACGGGTTACAAGATGTTATAAGATTCTCTACAGTACGTGCAGATAGCATTTCTTTTTAGCGCATTTCCACAAAAATAAAAAAAAAATGCGCTATTGTGGCCACTTTGTCCGTCCGTCCGTCCGTCCGTCCGTCCGTCCGCTAACTTTGCGACGCTACTAGTTTTTTATCTTAAGAGCTATTGTTCTACTTTTTTTCGCTATTTGGTTCGTTATGGTGTCGAGTCTTGTACCAAGGAAGGAATTTTTTCTGTACCGCTTACAAAAAAAGTTATTGTAAAAAAAAACAAAAAAACCGTTTTTTACATGTTCCATAATTTTACACTTTTGCCGTTTATTAACGATCCTAGAGATCGTTTATAATTTTGCATTGCTGTCTGTCGTCTGCCTGTTGGCCTGTCCGTCTGTTCCTTTGTCTGTCTGTCCCTCTATCTGTCCGTGTGATCGATAACTTTGTTTAGAAATGTTCGATCGCTTTTACATCTCCGTTAGTTATGAACTGAATTGCATGAAATTCAATATGGGCATAGATTTAGCCATATAATACGCAATGCCAAAAGTTGGATCGAATCGATTCAAAATTCACAGTCCCCTTTTCGCATCTCGACCATTTATAAACCGAATTGCAAACTTTTTTACTTATAAAAGTATTTGAATGAAATTTGATACATAGGCACTTGGAATAAAGGAAAATTAAACGCCAATTTCAAAATTTGGTTTTGCGCATGCGCAGTGCCAACTTTTTTATTTATGGAAGAATTTAAACGAAATTTGATACATAGGCACTTGGGATAAAGGAAAATCAAACGCCAATTTCAAAATTTGGTTTTGGGCATGCGCAGTGCCAACTTTTTTATTTATGGAAGAATTTAAACGAAATTTGATACATAGGCACTTGGGATAAAGGAAAATCAAACGCCAATTTCCAAATTTCGTTTTGCGCATGCGCAGTGCCAACTTTTTTATTTATGGAAGAATTTAAACGAAATTTGATACATAGGCACTTGGGATAAAGGAAAATCAAACGCCAATTTCAAAATTTGGTTTTGCGCATGCGCAGTGCCAACTTTTTTATTTATGGAAGAATTTAAACGAAATTTGATACATAGGCACTTGGGATAAAGGAAAATCAAACGCCAATTTCAAAATTTGGTTTTGCGCATGCGCAGTGCCAACTTTTTTATTTATGGAAGAATTTAAACGAAATTTGATACATAGGCACTTGGGATAAAGGAAAATCAAACGCCAATTTCAAAATTTGGTTTTGCGCATGCGCAGTGCCAACTTTTTTATTTATGGAAGAATTTAAACGAAATTTGATACATAAGGCACTTGGGATAAAGGAAAATCAAACGCCAATTTCAAAATTTGGTTTTGCGCATGCGCAGTGCCAACTTTTTTATTTATGGAAGAATTTAAACGAAATTTGATACATAGGCACTTGGGATAAAGGAAAATCAAACGCCAATTTCAAAATTTGGTTTTGCGCATGCGCAGTGCCAACTTTTTTATTTATGGAAGAATTTAAACGAAATTTGATACATAGGCACTTGGGATAAAGGAAAATCAAACGCCAATTTCAAAATTTGGTTTTGCGCATGCGCAGTGCCAACTTTTTTATTTATGGAAGAATTTAAACGAAATTTGATACATAGGCACTTGGGATAAAGGAAAATCAAACGCCAATTTCAAAATTTGGTTTTGCGCATGCGCAGTGCCAACTTTTTTATTTATGGAAGAATTTAAATGAAATGTGATACATAGGCACTTGGAATAAAGGAAAATCTAGCGCCAGTTTCAAAATTTTATTTTGCGCATGCGCAGTCCCAACTTTTTTATCTATGGAACTATTTAAGTGAAATTTGATACTTAGGCGCTTGGAACAAAGGAAAATCTAACATTAGTTTTAAAATTTAGGTTTGCGCATGCGCAGTTCTAACTTTCTTATTTAGAAAAGCATTGAAATGAAATTCTTCTCATAAACTGAAATTGAAGTAGCACGTCAACAATGGATTGCCCATGTGCAACGCTATCTTTCATATTTGTGGCCGGATTTTTACGATTTTAACAGAAGTTGCATCTTACAAATGGGAAATGAATGCAAGTGGAAATGCGCTTTATGTAAATCGTTTACGATTACTTTTTAACTTGTTGGTGTTTAGACGGAAGTAACGTCTATATGATGTTTAAACAACAGTATGTATTTATAAAATTACAAATAAAATAAATACAATTCATATGTTCATAATAGAATTTATATATTTAAATTTTGTATATATGTACAATAGGGAAAAAAACAATGGCAACTATCATCACTATCGGCACTAATGGCTGTATGCACCGAAAAAGTTTAAGAGGGCTTAGTTTAAGTGCGGCTTAATATCCATGGTAACGATTGTTGGAACGATGGTTGCCGTGGATTCTAAGCTAGGCTTAAGCTAAGCTCACCTTAAATTTTTTCGGTGCATACGGCCATAAATAATACTTTTTGTAAGACTGTCCAAAGCATTTGCCACATTTCACGCTGCCTTTTAGATTGTTCCGGTGATAAGAACCCAAACAACTGCATCCTAAAATAACAAAGATTCGAGGTTTAATTATTATTATACTGAGATAAAGACCTATCCCTCGACCTATCCTGTTTTTGCAGTTACCAACAATTTACTTTGTTAATGCGTACTTTAGTGGTTCCCAACTCCTGTATTTGGACAGTAAGTGATTTGCCTCTAAGCTCCCATCCAGTCGAGCATCCAGTACTTACAGCAAAAATGCACGTGATGTATTTCCCAATGCGATAGTGTAGAAATATGAATTGAGAAACATGGAGAAATTTGATCCATTTCAGTTTTCACATCTGCCGCCACGAAAAGATACATAACGAGACTGAAAAACCCGAGGAAAAACCAAATTTAATTGCTGTATTTTCACAAACTTTTTTTGTTTTTGCAAATAAACAGTAGGCTTGTCCAAATTACAAGAGACTCAGAATATACTTGCTTCATGAACACTATGGACAAACTTTTAAAAAACAATTACCTCGACAATTGCCTTTCGAATCAACATTTTACTTATTTAACAAGGCCTGATGATGGACTTATCTTTAGTCCAAAACCGATCGCCTAAAAAGAAAATCTATTAAATAAATATTAAGCCTGTTCCCAGAGTTTCAACTCTACACCATACTTCTCATCATTTATATTACTAATGTTGACAAATTCCATTTGAAAATAGATGTGCTACATGTAACTCTTTTCTTATTTGTTTAGGTTCGGATGACTGACGCGTAC